GGACCACCACATGGGGATGAGCCCATGTCCAGCCCCATTGCAGATGCCCCCTGGAGGAGGGGGGGTAGAGCATGGGTGGGTGAAACCTCGGGACCGGGGAGTGGGGTGGCTGGTGAAGGGTATAGCCTTTGACCCCTGGCAAGCATAAGCAAAGAGGTTCCCACAGGACAGTGACCAGGTCTTAGGGAGACGGGGTGGGGGGTGGTGGGCAGCCCTTAGGCAGCCCTTGAAGAAAGGAGCCTGGCCCGTGTGACAGGCCAGGGCTTGACCTAGGTGGGTGGCCTGGATTGTTCCACCCTTCATGTTTGGCCAGTCCTCTGGGTATATGGAAGCCTCAGATCGCCGCCCTTGCAGGAGGAGTTCTAGGGCCAGGGACCAGCACTGGGTGGCAACCCAGTCCATATACTAAAGAATGCGGGAGCAGAAGCAAGCTGCGGAAAAGCCCTGGCCAACAGCAGTCACACGGGGTAATCGTGCAATTCCAGGTGACAGATTCGATCTGCTTCCCTGTCTTTATCTTTTCCAGGGACAGCTCTCTAAGAGACCATTAAAAAAAAAAAAAATGAACTCAATTAAGTCTTCCCGGTAGAGCAGCGGCCTTAGAGTCTGCAAAACGTAAAGTGGTAGCAAAAAGGTGGTGTTTATATGGGCGTGGCACGGTTGCCAAGAAAGCCAGATCTTGCGTGTTGCGGAACAGAGAGCAAGGAGGGGGGATGGGACCCTATTCTGTTGGGTCCAGCCAGCACCTATTTGTCCTGACTCGGCCGTTTTTCTAATCGCGTCTAAATCAGAAAAAAAAGACTCTTTGGCTGTCCAGACCCGAGAGATTGCTTTCAGGCCTGAGAAGTTGGCCCTGTGGCAGCCGCTGAGCGCAGTCTACCACAGACACATCCTCACAGGTGCTGCGCCCTGCTGGGCAGGTCACGGAGCAAATCACAGCGTTCTTCTACCGCAGGGGGAGAGACTCTGCAAATAGCCGGGGGGGTCGGGGGTGGGGGGGACGAGCAGCCCGCACCGAACGGAAACAAAGATAGCCAACCCGGTTCTCGATTCTCTGCAGGTAAGTATAATGAACAACAGAAAGATGTAAAAGAAAAAAGACTAAGGCAACAAGGAACAAACGGACACTCGTCTTTAGGATTTTTCAGAAGACAAAGAGATAGGGCGCCTGGGTGGCTCAGTCGTTGAGCGTCTGCCTTCGGCTCAGGTCATGATCCCAGGGTCCTGGGATGGAGCCCCGCATCGGGCTCCCTGCTCAGCGGGAAGCCTGCTTCTCCCTCTCCCACTCCCCCTGCTTGTGTTCCTGCTCTCACTGTCTCTCTCTGTCAAATAAATAAATAAAATCTTAAAAAAAAAAAAGGAAGACAAAGAGATAAAACCCCATGTTGTATCAAGGTAGAATCCGAAATTATAATTTTTACAGGTGAGTCTTGGGAAAAAAAGCGCATAAATTCAAGGATTCATAAAATGATAAAGGTATTCATTCAGGTTAAGAAACTGAGGTACAAAAAAGAGTGACTGAAAGACATCTGATCTCTCTCAGGACTCAGGGACAGCCATGATTTTTCAGAGAAACATTTATGTTTTTATGTGACAGACACTCTAAGTTACATTAATGTAACTGATTGTGCTTCCCTCTTTGAACTGGCTGCTAGGAAGCTCAGAACCATATTTGTGTTCCATGCTATGTTGTAGTGTGTTACTTTCAGGACTAACAATATCCTCGATGCAGAGTCATTGAGAGGAACAAGAAATAGTAACCAGGAAGGGAGGGGACTTCATTCAAGATAGCTGTTATTGTTGTTGACCAAAATTTTAAGAAGAAATTTTTCCTGATGGATTTATTACCTGCAGAAGGTAAAATGGCTTTAACGTTCATGTCATTGAAATGTGGGGAGGAGTCATTGTAAAGTTTCTAATGAACCAGGCATGATCAATGAAGATTCGTTCTATAACACCCCTCATGAGTAATTAAAGCAGGGCAAGATAACATTGATAGTCCCGATATTTAATGGGTCAACACTAAACTTTTCAGAATCTTATTTTTTTCACGTCCTATTGATCTTCCTTCTGGTTTCTTTCTTTAAAAAAACAAAACACTTTCTGCTTCAAATATTTAAAAAATCACCCCGAATTTCCCTCTTGAAATAATTATATATTTTTAAAAAGCTTTTCAAGTAATCATCAATTGCTAGGCATTCTTCCTTTCTGTTCTGGTGGCTTCTCCCCAACTTCTTAAGCCATACAGTTAACTGGGTAGCCCCTGTTAACTCCCTGACTGAGTTCTGATTCACACAAACATATGTATGTGTACTGTGTAATTACAAAAGTAACGTAATGTAACGTAGTATATAATACGGTGTGTAATCAGCGTGTGGCTGGCTCTCAGAAGACACAGAAGTTGCAGAAGAGCAGGTACCTGGACACTCAGTGCAGAGCGGAGGGGTGTTGGGAGGTTGGGGAGGCGGCGATGAGGCCCCATCAGAGTTGTCACTGGGCTTTTGGAGCGGGCCGCCCCCAGCTAGCCAGAACGTTTGTTCTCATTCTCCTCTTCTTTGTGACCTAAGTTTCAGGGACCTTGTGTGCCTCATTCTGCAGCCTCTGTATCACATTTGTCTTGTGACTGTGGTCTCCCAGTCCTCATTGCAGCATGGTGCTAGATCTTAGGACCAAAGCAGACTCAAGGCAGGAATTTTCTAGCCATACTGCTGCTTCTGGATGAGACCTAAGGGCGGAGGGGGGGGATTGCTAGTGCGGTCTGGGCAAAAGTGGATTAACAGCGCAGTTAGAGAAGCTTAAGCATCAGGGCTTCTCACTCTCATGCATTTCTTCTGAGTCCTATACCTAATTTTATATTCATAATTACATATTCTTTTCTTAAAGAGAGACCCCTCCAAATTTTGTAATTGTCAGAGTCCCATGAAACCAGTATCTGCCTCTGATTCTGGGGTTATATTTTTTGTTCCCTAATAAAAGTAGGAGACATACAAGAAGAAGCCACACTCTTTCTTTTCTGCTTTGGGATGACCTGAGGGGATGTGATGCTTGGGGCTGCAGCAGCCATCTTGTGACCCTGAAGAGAAAGCCAAAAGAACTGCAGAAGAGCTAACTCAGAGCCTTGGTGTGATTGATGTGATTGAGCTGCTGGATGAACCAACCCTGGAACTGTCTACCTCGACTTCCAGTTATAAGAGGTAAAAGTCTTTATTATTTAAGGCACATGGATTCAAGTTGTGTATGACTTATAACCAAGAGCATCTTGCTGATACCCCCCTGGTCCCCCACCACTGTGTTTTAGTCACTCACTGGAGAAATGTGCATCTCCTTGCCGGATGTGCTACTGCCAAGATTCTTACCTTCCAGAAAGCACTTAGAGCTAGAGCAGCTTTCCTGGTGCCCATCCTACCCTACTGGAGGGTTCAGAGCCTCTCCCACGGGAATGGAGATGGCCTTTCATTAGTTGTGCAGTGTCTCTGGCTTTGCCACTCTTCCCACCTAAGACTACTTTCCCATAAATTACTCCAAATCACCTCAGTCGCCCTCCCCACCATGAACCAGCTTCTCAGTGCACTTGATTTCAGCTAAATATGAGAAAGAGTAGATGCACATAATCATGCTAAGAAATGAGTGACAGGTAACTAGACTGGCCCTCTTCATCTCTTTCCTTTGAAAAGTCAAAGTCATTCCACCAGAATTTCCTAAACTGAGAAAGTTTCAAAACGTCAGCCCTTTTGAATGACTTGGGAAAGTTGGTTTTATGGAAATAGTCGTATAGACACCTACCCGGGTGACACAGTTGACTGCTCGTGTGTTCAATGCAAAGCTGTGAGCAAATCACTGTACATGAAAATTCTGTGAGCCTGGAATAATCTCACTCCAGGCAAACATTGAACAGTGTGCTAAAGTGAAAAAAGAAGCAGGAGGAGGCAGAGGGACCTTCTTGGAAACTTGCAATCACATGGTGTGGAAGCCAAAGTCTGCTGATTCGATGGGCCCCACTTGGCCTCAGGACTGTGTAGACTGACAGCTCAGACTGGGTCTGTTCTGTTTCCTTGGTCACCAGATGCTTCTCTGTGAGAGCACACAGGAATGACTCAGTTCTCCTCAGTGACCAAATTTCATGTCAAGGAACACTCATTTTTCCACACCTAGGTTCCTAGACTTCCTTCCACCCATTTGCCTGATCCGTATTTCTGCTGATCACCACCTGCCCTCTCTCTGGCAGATAAATGCTAGTCCTAGGCCTTAGACTTCATTGGCATCGACCGACGACCCCCATGTGCCAACACCTGCCATTCTCTTTCACCCTGCAGGCTGGTCTCTTTGCAAGCCATCTTCAAATTCGTGTCTATGATAAGCCCCGCCCTCTCCGCCAACTGATTCTAGATCGGCCTTGACCTCAGTTCCCCTGAAAGGCCAGGGCCCTCCCACACTGGCCCGTGATCAGAAGTTGATCCAAGAGCCTGGCGAGCTTGCAGTCGAGGCAGGCGGGCAGGACCTGCTGAAGTCATTCGTGTGCGAGGCAACGAGGGTTTGGACCCCAAACGCAAGATAATCTCCTCTGCAAAATCAAGTTGGCTAACTGGGGAACGGGGATGGCTGGAGTTGTGTTTGCCAAACATTCCTCTTAAAGGTGAAAGCAAAGCTGAGCCTCTCCCTGATTTTCACTGCCCTGAAGCGATTGCTTTGGTTCACAGTAATTGTTGCACTTTAAACTGAATAGGTTACATTGTAAGCCTGGGTAATTGAGTTAAGGGCAGTTTGTTAACATAGCAAGTCTGGAGCCCCGAAGTCTAAACTGTGACTCTGGGTCCACGTCTATGGTGTGTGTCTACAAAGCCACCTGACCAAGTCTTTGGCGTCTCTAAAGGTGGAAGTGAGGCCATGAAGGACACTGAAGTGACAACAAAATCTTTTAAGTGCAAAAGCAGAGTAATTATTTACTTTGGGTGTTTGATGGAATTTGTATAATGAACATATTGTCATAATTCTATCATTACCTCAGTTATGAACCATCCTTCATCAGCCACAAGGGTCAAAGGAGAGACAAATTTCCCTTTCTTGTAATAGAACCTGCTTGGTATGGCTTCTTTCTCGTAGATAGTCATGTGTTCCACTGTTCTCAGTTTGTTATATATCTGCAAAGAGAAAAGAGTCACCAGTTTAGCATTCTCTTTCTTAACTATGTGTGAACATTTATTGCACCTGGAGGAGAGGGAGAACTTTACGGACCAAAGAAAGAAATGACCAAAACACCTGCTAGGTTTGACTACATAAGAACGGGAAACTTTTGTATGTCTCAGAAAACAAGGTGGCTTCATCTCGTAAGGCTGAAGATCCTCACACCCCATGATCTAATAAGGTAGCCCCTCGGGACCTAGCGGGAACCCCTCCCACTCGTGCCCCGGGAGACACATAGAGGGGTAGAGACTGCAGACTCAACAGCCCAAATGCCCAGCAACAGTGGAAGGGAGAGAGGACTCGTGTGGTTCTGTGGTGGGATACTATACAGCAGTGAAAAGAGGCGAATTACACCTAAACAGAACACCTGCAAGCATCGCAGGGCTCTCAGTTTGAGAAGCAAAATAAAGCAAGTTGCAGAAGAACACAGACAGGATTATTATTATTATTATTATTATGGGAAGTTCGAATAACTATAAAACTAAAGAACACATGATAAAATGATAAGGACAATTATGGAAATGATAACTTATAATTTAAGAGAGTAGCTTCCTTTGGGGGGCAGGAAATGTGGTGGGGTTTGGGAAGGATATACAGGAGATACCATTATCAATGGTAATGTCCTACTTCTTAGATGTTTAGTAAATATAAGGCGTCCCTTTATACTTTTCAATATTTTATAATAATTTGCCTACTCAGTAGTGAATAAATTACAAAAGCTTGTATACATCAAAAATGCTATAGTAAAATTAAGAGGCAAATGAGGAATTGGTCCACCTGCTGTTAAATGCCACTAAGATCAAAGGGAGAGGATTTGCTCTTGACCTCGAGCATGTCTTTCCTACACCTGAATCTTAAAAGTATTAGTAATTGTCTGCCGTTCATTACACTACTAATTTCATGATGAGGGTGTAAGCTCTGTACATATTTCCAATATTTGGCAGCAGCTTAAATATTTATGGCTGACATTAAAATCAACTGGCTGATGTTGACTTGTTGGCCCTCAGCCAAATCAGACACATATTCCTGGGTAGAACTGAATGTAAAATTGAGTTCTTCAACTCAGATCTGGAGAATAATTAGCCTTCAGGCTTTTTAGTAGAGAGTTTCTGATGACCCCACGAGTTATGATTTCCTACTTGAGAAAAATCCATAGTTCTTAAGGAAAGTAGGATGCGTTTGCAGGAAGATTTTGGATACGTGAAAAATCTGATGACACATACCAGGTCTCACAAATGGTTGTGTCCGTCACACGACGAACTGTCACCCAAACACAGCCCCCACTCTTGAATAACCCACCAACTGCTTCAGGCGGCTTGCAACCGCCTGGCTTTCATGAACGTCATGCTGGAAGAAGCTCTTCCCAGCTCGTAAGCTGCTGATGCTCAAGCATTCTGGAGGCAGCACGTCCCTGAGCGCCAAGTTGGAAATGCAGATGATCTTCCTTGCCAAGAAAACAGAACTTCTTTGGAAGAAACCACTTTCTGTGGGACCTGCCAATGTGTAGAGTATTCCTCCCGGCTCCATATTAAGGGATTTTATGGGGCTGCTGTACAAATGGTCAGCACCTCCACTTCCTGACCATGGAACTTGAGAAAAAGGGGCGTCCACCTAGGAAATGGGACGAGGCTGGGGAGGAGTGGCGTTGTTGGCAACTGCGCTGCTCAACCTCCAAACAGACAGGTCTCAGACTTTTCTATGGGCAGGAGGAAGTCGAAAGGACCAGCGGAGAGACCCCGGCCTCCTGCACACAGTGTCCATCCATACCAAAGAGCGTCCATTGTCAACCACATCCTTGCTCTGAGGATAGGTGGAGGTGTCAGACCCACCCTAGGCCAATTCCTGGGACCCTGGGGTTGGCACCTCCATGGGCAGCAGTCTGAGCCTCCCCCAAGGAAGAGACCTGCTTCCTGGTCCCCAGAGCACAAAATTTTCTCTGGGAGTGGGCAGAAGCCCCAGAGCTTGCCCTGGAATGTGACGAGGCAACGTGGGGCAAAGCAGGTGGACAAAGATGCTGCTTGTTCCTCATTTTCCCATCATGATTTACTAAGTACTGCAGATAATTATAGTTTGGAGAGAAGGGTATGTAAAGTCTAGCCATCTCGGAGTGCTGAGTTCCGGGAGGGCAGTGACTGTGGGGAGCACCCTCTTGGGAACCCGCCCTGTGATGGTGATCATTGTAATAAGTGGCACAAACATCGTCCTTGAGGTGGGCCCAGCATGCTTCTGTGGGCTTCCCAGCAGGCCAGGAGGGCGGCTGTGATGGCATCGCCAACCACATGGACTCAGGAGAAGCAGAGGGTCCGGGACAGGGAGCTCTGGGTTCCCAGTCCATGATCAGGCTGGGATGTGCACCTAAGCAGCGTGCCTCCTCAGCTAGGGAGCTGACCCATGGCACCCACGGCCTCAGCCCCTGTTCATTCATCACCTTCTTATCTCCAGTTCCCTGATGAAAACAGATCAGATGGGCGGCTTTGTTCCAGGGAAAGAGCATTCTCTGTATGCATCCGGTACCCCCCAGGTTTGCCTCAGAAGTGCCGCATTTGGGCCAATAATAAAATAGCCCTACTAAAGGGCTAAGAGCTTAACATGCTAAGCACCGCACATCCTTTATCTCGTTTGATTTCCACTAACATCCGTGCAGTGGATACCGTCATGCCCATTTCAGAGAAGAGAAGACAGACACAGGAGGATGAGCAGTTTGGCAGAGGTCAAGGGAGCAGCAAAGTAGGTCACGTGCCTCGGGAGGCTCAGCTCCCGCACAGCTCTCTACTTCAGCGCTAAAGCCCCAGGGCAAAGACCAAGCACAGAGTGATCATCCATCCGCCTCCCCCCATCATGGTGCTTCTTGCCTCAGAGTGTTTCCCAGGGGCTGGCCAGAGGCTCACGACGGGTCCTCGGTCCTTCACTTGCTCCAGGTCGTTCAGGCTGATGTACTTATTCAGCTCGATCACTTTGTCCATCCAGAAAATGTCAGTCATTCCATGATCTGAGAAGATGATGACGTTGAGGTGGTCCTGCAGCTCCCGCTCCTGTGGGCGGACAAAAGCCGTCAGCACAGCGCCCAGGCGGAGATGCGCTCACTCTGGAAGGTCTTGTAAACAAGTGTTTTAAACTGTAAGTTATGGGGGAAAGGATCCTTCCTCAATCACAAACTTTTCTGCCCTGATGGGACCAGTGGGACATCACCATAGAAGCGCTTCGAGGAGGGCGAGGTGAAAGCACATCCCCTTTCCAGTAGTGCTAGAAATCATCCCTCCTGGACTTGAGCCATTCAAGCTACTTTCTCTGTTCTCATTTCCTTCTGCTGTTTCAGCAGACGTGTGCAGTAAGACGGGAGCTGTCGCTGACCCATTTTACAAACATGCAAAATAAAGCCCACAAAAGTTTTACCTTGTTGAGAGTCATCCAGCAGGGGGGTGGGTGGCAGGATCAGGGACAGAACCCAGGTCTGGTCTCCATGCCCGCTTGAACCTGGTTCACGGACTTACTAGGTTTGGTAAAGAACTGGGCCATCTGGCCAGCTAAGCCAGGGAAGAACACAAATCTGGTCATTTCAGTCCCGCTGGGCTGGTTGTAAAACAAGGGAGCTCCTGGTATCTGACGAGGGGTTTGGGAAGAAAAGAGACCCACCCCAGCCTGGTGCTGACCCCGTCTGCTAACACCAGTAAGAAGGAAAATGTTGAAGGGTGATGACAACCAAGGAAACTGACAGGTAAGTGACAAGAGGGAAGATCAGCCTCATGGTCCTCGGTTTCAGTTACCTGGATCCACTTGGTCATGTACTTCAGGACAGTGTCCACGGCTTTCAGGGCGTCTTTCCGCTGAGGCGACGAGGGGCCATAGTGGTGGCCTTCCACATCGATGCGCTCATAGTATATGGCGGCCAGGTCCGCCCGGCCACTCCTGGAGGGAGCAGAGTGAAAGAGACGCAGTTGAGGGAGGCCCTCACCGGCTTTCTCCCCCTCCACTCAGCAGTCCTCTGTGAAGGCACTGGCGTCCCCAGATCCCTGACCTGTGGGCCAGGCAAAGCTGACACCTTAAAATGATCACGGTGATCTCTAAGGGAGGAAACACGGCTACGGCGTCAAGACATGCCAGTCCTGAGCACCTCAGTGCAACAGTCAGAGAGCTTGTTTATGGGACATCTCCCCTCCTGGCTCACATGGCATCGCTCATTGTGCCCCAAGAGTTGGAATGGCTGGTAACAGGCAGAGGACAGTTCTCATAGCTCTACTCTACCACCGCTGTTGTCGTAAGGTCAGAACAACTAGAAGCAATCATTCAAATAGCGACTTCGATTATTGTTGGACCTGAAGGAAGTGTCTAAATAAAACAGCAGACTGCGTGTTTAATCCACTGGCAAGAAGAAGAGCAAGCTTTACCAGGGCAACCTGGGGGAGGCAAACAGGTTAGTGTTCAGCAGACATTTATTCTATGGGGACATTTATTCTCTGAAGGGCCAGCTCCAGTGTGGACATAGAGTGAATTCTAACAGTGACCACACTTCCCTGGGTCCCAGGAAGATGCTGGTTCTGGAAAAACTCTCCTTCTTGGCCAGAGTACTGATAATACTGATGATGGCAGAGTACTAATAATCCAAGCCCTTGATGCCGGGCTAAGAATGACCAGGAACAAGTGATCTCCATTCGAGTAGGAGGCCTGCAGAGTCAGGAAGGGAGAAAAAAATGCTGTGTAATGCACCTCGCTCCTTCACACAATGCTCTCCACCGTCCCTCCCGCCCCAGCTCAAGCTTTGCCCATGACTCCTCCCAAAGCACCCGAGCTGAACAATGATCATGATGATGATGATGTTAGTGGTGGGAGCCGTTATAGTCACTGACAAAAGTTGAAGCAATGCAAAAGAAATTACAGCTCATTCCTTTGCTTGGACTTTACAAGAGCTAATAGTTAATACTCTTGGTGGATTGCCTTATTTCTCTCGAAAAACCATATTTTAAAGGCACGCACACACACAAATGAGATGGCATGGTGTCTCCTGATGCGGCTGCCCCAACACTTGGAACATGAGCAGTAGAAGAATGTGTGTCCTCAGAGCCTGCTCTGCCTTGGGTCTTGCAATCCACAGAGGAGGGAAAATTGCCTCCTGGGAGTTCAGAGAGGGTGGTTTGCACTGCCAGAGTTAAAAACAGCTCCTACTCATCCTCCAGGTTTCAGGGGAGATGGTGCCCCTTCCAGGAAGTTGGCTCTGATGCCCCAGGCTCTGCTGGGCAGCCCTCCGGGTGCTCCTGCGGCCCTCGAGGCTCATCTCCTGGTAATGCTCTTCCATGCCGGGCTGCAGTGGCATGCTGATGTTCCTTCGCCCTCTCTAAGCTGTGAATTCTTTGTGGGGGATGGCGATTCATCCTCCACTATAGCTCAGTTGTAGCCTACTGTATTTGGCATACAGTTGGAGCTCTATAACAGTTGAAAGTATACTAATAGTAAGTGCTCAATAAATGACAGTTGCTCTGGGTCAGGCACTATGTCGAAGGCTTTTCATTCATTATTTAATCCTCACAGCAACCCTTTAAGATTGGAATACATTGAACAGAAAGCTCAGTATAGTTGCCTGCCTCACACAGCCAGTGAGAGATGGCAACAGGACTCAAACCCACGTTGGGCTGACTCGAAAACCCCGACCACAACCACTAAAAACTCTACGGCCCACACCAATGGGGCAACATTCTGCTTAACCTTCTTATGGAAATCGTCCTTATTCTCTTATAAGACTCTTACCCTTCTTGACGGATAGCGCTCCATGTCTGTGGGTTAGGTGTGTCTTGGATTTCTGGAACTACTGTGGGAAGCGTCCCTATAGAAAAGCATCTGCACATTTTGCAGATGGGCAAATAGGCCAGAAAGGATTCTAGGACTTGCTCAGGGTCTCACAGAGACATAGCTAGAACTGGAAACGTGAATCTCCAAGATCAGAATATTCTACCAGCCTGGGCTTTTGAAAGTCCGCATCTACTGCATTCACTACACTGGGGCGGTTTTCGGGGGATATTCTGATTAGCATCTTCCTTCATTATGGTCATACTTGCCAAGAGGGCACTTCCTTTAATGATGCTGTGATGTTCTGCTGTGTACCCTGAGGGGCATTTCATTTATGTTTTTGAGGGCACATTGGTTTCAAGTTAAGTAAAATTGCTAGTCAAGTGTTTTCTCTTTTTAGAACACAACAAACCGGCCCTTCTTTAAAAAATACCACCCTCCTCCACAATGGGGACTGGGTTAGGTGTTTTTCAAAAGTGATATTATCATTATTCATACTCACTAATGTGTGAATGACTCATCCATCTATAGACAGCAGAGAACAAAAAGTCACGCAGGGGCCTGCAAGGGTGTGGGCGGTGGGGAAAAGTTCTCGCTCGGTAATGGCACTTTCATACACATCCCTAAACTTTTGTGAGGCCCGTGTTCATTACACTGATAAACTAATGAACACGGTGGAACCTTCCATAAAATCTTTCCCTCAGATGAGCCTCAGCCTTTAGCTGCTTTATGCAGTTGCATCTGTAGCTCCCCAGATGTGTGGATTCATGCAGTGTGTCCTGTGTTCAAGTGTGCACACTTCCAGGGTGGGGCTTGCATGGGGGGAAAACTGCACAAACAGGCTGACCATTGCATTAAAGTTCAATGACATGCTTTTAGGTCACTGCATTGTAGATACTTCCCTTAACGCAGCAACCACTTGGCTGGTTTCTTTCAGGCTCTGCACCATATCCACAAATCTCCGTGTGATCAGGGAGCCCGTATCACAGATTTACCTGATGGCTTTCTTTGAAGGAGCTGTCAACCCCAGGTGCCAGGAACACTGGATTTGGGATGCTGGCAATTCAGGGATTTATGCACATGCCTTTGGAAAAGACTTCTAGGTTGGAGTTTCGTCGATTCATTAGGGACCTGAGTCTTCAAGGGCTGAGCACTCTCGTCCCTGTTTGGAGTTTAGTGGACAGATTCTTGGTCGCCAGGTGTTTTCCACATGGATCTGGTCTCCATCACAGGTCAGCTCATTTGTAATGGAGTGGTTGGGTGAGGATCGATGGGTGGAAATGCCTGCAGACCTGTGGTTGGCCATTTATAATTTATAGCTTTAGGGGTCCAGGAACTGAGCCAAAGGACATGTGGCTGTCAGCCCAGTACTTGAGAGCTGCAAGGAGCCCCCAGCCCCAGGCTTTCAGGGATACCCAGGGCCCCCATCATCTTAGGATGTTGTCCAGACCTCTTTTCAGTGTAAAAGTTCATAACCTCACATCCATTTTCCTTACTGAAGTGAGTTGGAAAGAGAAGACTTAGGGAGAGAGAAATGGGGGGGGGGCAATTCAAAGGGATGGTTGAAGTTATCAGCTGTTAAGAAAAATGATCTAAAACTTAGAAATTAGGCCCCCCAAACAGCTGCCTGTCATTCCTGTGTCCTACAAGAACAGTGTCTGATAAACTTACTTACAGGTCACCAGACTTTATGACCAACTTGAGCCCGGAATGTGTAAACTCAGCTGTTAACTTGTAGGACACCAGTAAGATGAAGGTTATTTTTGCCTGATGGAGAAAGCAGTCCCAAAGATCATGGTCTCATTGTCCTCTAAGTCATGAAGCATTTCTGCATCTCACAATAATCGTATGCCATCGTCCTCCAACACTCTTTTCCTTCACGCATATGTTTCTCATATTCTCTGTTTAACCAGCCTGGTCAACCCTGGAGTCCCTCAGCAATAACGGAATTTGAACCTCGGCATAATTCTCGTATACGTATGTAGTGAGCACATGACAGAGGCTTAAATTTTGAAAATTATACATTGATAGGGCATTGGAATTAGACAAATCTGGGCTCAAAGATGTGAACCTCACTATCCTGGAGGTCTCAGAAGAACAGCAGAAATATCTGGAAGCCTCAATGCACCGTGTGAAAAACCTCCACAGCGGGCTACACTGGGTATGAAATGAGCTGATGTTTGTAAAGTGCTTGACACACAGCAAAAGGGAGACAAAGGGAAGGAGATGCCTTGCATCTCTCTTTTCCTTCCAGATGTGCCTAGATGGTTTTTGCCTGTGTGCTGAGCCCCTTCCCTCAGAGTCCATGGGGAGGGGAGGACGGACAAAGGCCAGGACATTTGCCCCAGCCGCCCCGTGGTCTGTGGAAAGAACCATCTCGTCATCCAACCACTCCTTTATAGGCACCAGCAGCCACTGAGGTTCTGGGATCCTAAAAGAATTCCTTTGGAGCTGTTTTCTGTAACCTGGAGCTTGACAATAGACAGCAGCTGTGACCACTGCTCCCGTGGCCCAGTTGTTACTTGACCAACCCTTTTGAGAGGCTTCATCAGGCTTCACCTGCACCTGGGAGCAGCCTCCTGGTGCCTCCAGGTGGTCAGGGTTGCATGTGGCTGTCACCACTGCCATGCCCCTTTTCCTGCCCAACGAAGCCTGACTATCCACAAACAGAACTTCCAGGAGGACGGATTAAGTGATGTGATCACAAACTGCTTTCTGTTGTGGCTGTGTGAGCAGGGGTGTTGCCTCACTGTCCCCGTGTGCAGTGGCATGGTACATAGTGCGCCCATGGCTGGGGCTGTGTGCTGCTGAACACGTCAAGCAGTGAGCAGATCACAGAGGCTGCCAGTCCACCTCAGGCGCCCATGAGCCCCAGGCCCAGCACAGCCCCACAGGCGTGACTTGCGAAGGAGCCAACCCCCCGCTCCCGTCCTGTCGGTCTGATTCGGTTTCAGGGCACCTCAGAGGTATGGGTGCAGACCAGGAGGAGAGCTGTGAAGTTGACTCTGAAGTGTCCAGGCACTTCTCTCTCAGACCTGGGCTCCGGCTCCACCACCTACTAGCTGTGTGCGACCTGAAACAAGGTGCTTAAATCTGGGAGCGGAGAAGGACTCTTTATAAGAGGAGGACGACGACACACCTGTGTAATACAGTAGCTGTAACAGCAGAATGGGTCAATGGTGATAGCGCCTTCGACACAATGCTAGCAGGTGGCTGTTGAAGACATGAATTCTCTTCGCCTTCTCCTTTCTTCTACGCTAGTGGTTGTCTAGGTGCCGAGGTAGCATCTACCATGGATATGACTTGGGTCAATAAAGCTTTATGAGCCTTGGATAGCAATGCCCAGATCAAACATGGAAATTAGACTAACCCTTCCACAAAACCATATGGCTTCTTGGCTGAGCTGGACCCTTTGCTGAAATGTTGTCCGTAGGTCAATCTTAACTGCCTTCTTTTAAAAGCGTATCTATCCTGTATCCCATTCTCTCTGCCTCTCAGAATAATAGCAGAGTGGAAAAAGACACTCTATAAGCAGTACTGATCAGGAGAAATGCGTGTGTGTGCCCACATGCACATGCATGCCTGTGTTCGCACACTTGTGTGAACTCTAAGCACGCCTCAGATTATAGCTGGGAATTTGAGATAGAGCTGAGCAGAAACCAAGAGGTAAGCTATGGAGTCTAAAACTTGCTCCTTGTTTTGGGACCATCTGATGGAAAGATAAATAATTAATACATCTTTGCCTAAATATACACACCAAGAGAATTCATAATTCCTTTGAGTCACATTCTTACATGAATAAGCTGCTACATGCAAAGTGGTCTTAACTGTGTTGGCCCACAAAGGTCAATCCTTTATTCTACTTTGTAAGAAGGTAATGAGACATGTTCTAAAAATGCATAGGTTAGGGGCGCTTGGGTGGCTCAGTCGGCTAAGGGTCCAACTCTTGGTTTCGGCTCAGGTCATGATCTCAGGGAGGTGAGATCGAGCTCCGCATCGGGCTCTGTGCTGGGTGTGGAACCCACTTAAGATTCTCTCTCTCCCTCTCCCCCTACTCCTCCCCGCCCCCACTCTAAATCAATCAATCTATCTATCTATCTGTATAGGTTGTTTATAGAGGGTGCCTTTTTTTTCTTTGCAAGAGAGCCTAAATCATCTTACTGCTTTCCACAGGCAGTCAGTATCATCTGGCCTATTGCTTTTCTTCTCTTTTTTCTCTCTGTCTCATTTCAAGCCCTAACTAGTTTTAGAAATGGTGGATCTCCATCTTTCCAACCACTATTCACAGGGGATGTTTCTGTGGCCCTGTTAACTTTGACAGTATGAAGACCCCACAAGACAATTGCACTGGCCTGGTTCCATCCTGCCTAGGCCTTCACTGCCCAACTGCAGAAGCATCATTCATTGGTAGATTATGTGAATGTCATCCCCTGGAGTTCAAGGCCATTTATGTAGACTATAGTATGAATGGTGCCAGTTGAACAATGTGGTGGCATCAGGTCACACCAGATAGAGGCCTAGCCTGGGGCCACTTTCCTGGGCCTCCAGTTCTTGGTAGCCTTTTCTGTCTAGGGGAGCCCAATGCCTTTGCTAAACACACATACACACAAAGATACACACACACATATACATACTACCACCTCACCTTCCACCACCAACCTCCCGCTTTCTAAATGCTGTGCTCTAAGGTAAAGATGTTATTCCCCAGTGTTCCAGAGCTCTGTCATGTTGCTTGAAAAGGGAAAAAGAAAAACTCCTCTAGAAACAGAGAAACAGAAACTTCTCTAGGAAACAGAGCCCAGCACTCATTCCTCCAGCATGCTGCTATACCTTAAGACAAGGAAGTCTGCTTGGATGGGCCAGCTTGCCAGCCCTGGCTCACCTGAGCCTCTTGGGACTCTGTGCCTCTCCACCTGTTGAATCACTGGGTTGTGCACAGTGAGTGACCATTCAGTTCTCAAGGCAAGATGAATGTGAAAAAGATTACACTCCCAAAAGGAGCGTTGGGTTATTTGGAGGTATTTGTATGACAACTATGTTCTAAATTTATATGTTCATATTTAGCATGGCAATAGGTTGTAGGGGTGGCCAGCATTTTGGATATGTTGGAAACAGCACTGTATAGACACAGAGCTATTCCAAAGTTCAAGCTCTGCTCATCTGCTGTGCTTGTGGTGGTCTTCAGCTTTGCCCAAACTAGTTTGTAACACGATATTCTAGTTCATCATGCGTGTGTGGTTTTCCAGCACTTGCGGGCAAGGAAAAGAAAGCAGAGTAGGTAGGAGACAGGATCATATAACACACATGATTTACAAACCACATGTTGAAGATTATTTATTCAATAGTTAATAATATTTATTTAAAGTTCATTCCAGACCTTGTCCCTTCCCTCTTCCCTCCAGAAAAAAAATCTCAACTTTTAAATTTGTTACATCTCAGTTTTTAAGTATTTCAAACCTATTTCCTCTCCAATCTGTCAGAGCTTGAGCCTTCCTGTGCCTCAAAGGCCCATCTTGATGGGTTTCATGGAAGTGGAATTATTCCAAGAAGGAACGGAGGGAGAGGTGTTATTTTCTCCTTGTGCAGTTCTGTGGGGGTGACTTGCTCCCCACAATGTTTGGGGTGGTGATGGCAAGAATGGGATTCATCATTGGTCAGCTCTATATCTGGGGCAATCTTAGCTATAGGCCAATTCTTGTGGTTACTGCTGGCGCGTAGTACACAGTGCCTGTGATATGGTGGCCCTCGGAGGCTGCCCAGCTTGAAAACAGGCTCTTTCTCCTGGGAGGATAACAGTCCCTCCCTGATCTCCAAACTGATGACTATAGGTCTTCTGCCTTGACCCTACCCAGGAGATCCACTCAGTAGCCAAGGTGACCGCAAATCCAGCCCTGGAAATGTGAGAGCCCCCAACATCTTTAGCTTCTTGGTTGCTAATTACTCAGGTAGACCCCAGCTGGTGTCGCATCTTGATTTCCACATCTAGCAACTTCTGAGACTACCTTGAGGCTTTCTCCTGACCTTTCTTGTTGACCAGTTTCTCTGACAGACTCTCGTGTGCTATTTAAGACACCATTAATGATTTCTGCATTTTTAAAGTTCTGTGTCATTGCTTCATGTGGGAGGAAGAAAAAGTTTCTATGTTCTAATATGCTAACGTGTTTCGTACATTACCAAGAAGAAGGTCGAGTAGGCAATTTTTTCAAATTTACTTCACCACAGATCCCCCCTTCCTGCCAAATAATAACATTTTCTGAAATACAAGCATTCACTAAATTTTAATTAGAGAGATGTTGACATTCATATTGCTTCTCTATTGTCCATCAACATAAAGAAGAAAGTCCCAAGCACTTGAGGACTTTCTTGCTCTCCAACATTTACAGAGAGTGCCCCTACCTGAAATGACTCACTCACAATTATTCTCTGGTAGCAGTTAACAGTCATCATGCAAGAGACTAATCATATCTCTGAGACATTATTCCACCTGTACCAAGCCTTCTTAATTCACTTTAGCATTCATTATTGGTCCTGGAAACAATGAAGAACAATGGTATGACCAAAACCTTGGGACACTTACTTGAGGGAGTCAAGAGCATCGCTGACTGCATTGGCAAAATTGATATCCGTTGGGACGTTTTTATATTCTAGGCAGTAAGTAGGTCTGACCCCAAGAATCTCAACCTCACAGCCTGAGAATGAAAAAGATGGTAAATGGTTACTTTCTTTAATAATTAAGGTAGGCTTTTGAGCTTAGTTCAGGAAGCAAACGCCATAAGTCAAAATAAAAATCTTTATTCATTTTCATGAAATAAAAGAACTGACTACTGATAGGTGGTATATTTAACTGTAATTTTGCTTAACTGGAGCAGAGGTTCTCAAATGTCATTCCTATACAACGCTGGCGTCCCATGATAGGGACTAGCAAAAATTGGTTAATGTTTGTCTTTTCCAATTTGAAACAAAATTAATTCATACACAGAAAGGTCTCAATTAAAACCTTCTCCCATAGATTTTTCATAACTGCTAAGTCTTCTAGTGTGTCTTTGTCTACTCTAAAATCAAGTATTAGGTAGTATCTGATTAGTCCTGGAATAATAAAATAAAAATTTCAGTAGTCTAACTGAACTATGAAATGCCACACTAAATTAGCAAGCCTAAAAATCACTGACTTAAAGCAGGGATTCTGAGACATGACTTTGCTTTTCCCAAAATGAAGTAAAAGAATTTTTTAAAGGATTTTATTTATTTATTTTAGACAGAGAGAACACGAGAGTTGCGGGGGGGAGGGTGGGGCAGGGAAGAGCAGAGTGAGAGGGACAATCAGACTCCGTGTTGACTGCAGAGCCAGACGTGGGGCGCGATCCCATGAGCCTGAGATCATGACCTGAGCCACAATCAAGAGTCAGAGGCCCAACCAACTGAGCTTCCCAGGCGCCCCAAAATGAAGTAAAAGAATTAAGGGCATTCAGATGTTAGGAGCTGCTATGGCCTCAGCTTCACTGCCCCAGGCCCCTGGACAAGTAGAAGTAGTTGCTCTGAGGAAGAGACACCCAAACTTATTGCCAAAATGTAGGGCAGAAGAGGTATGAGCAAGTCTCAGTTTAAGTTAGTTGACTATTATTGGGCACCTACTATGAACTAGTCACTGTGTTCAGACATAGTGGAAACAAAAATGTGTCAGTCAGGGTCTTTATCCTGGAGCATCCCAGAATTTAGTGTAGTGGGAGGAGACATTTGGGAAAAAATTGTAATATGTGAAGTCTAAAATGAGGTGCGCACTTACTGGTGTGGGAACTCAGATGAGGGACATTTACTCGAGGGATTATTTCTTCCTGGAAGCCTTCCTTGAATCCCCAGGTTGGGCTCAGTCTTATAGACCGCATTTGGCCAATGTGTCAGGGGATGGAGGTGGGGAAGGAAGGGACATCCCAAGCAAAGAGAGAAGCGGAAGCAAAAGTTCAGAGATGAAAAACAACAAGGTTAGTGTGGGGAACTATACACAAAATAAAGCTCTGGGCAAGGAGTGTCAGGAGAGAAGATGGTGAGCATTCTTATAGCCCAGGAAAAATGATTTCTCAAGGTAGAGGTAAGTAAAGTGGAACAAGTTGGGAGTAAGCAGGAAAGGAACGTCTCTGTCAGGAAACGTATTAACCCCTACTCCTGGGTATATCTGCTAGTCTGTTACAGCTCATTTATAAGAAGGTGGGGCAGCCTCCAGGAATTCCTTACTCCAGCATACCATAGCAAATCTGAGTGCTCTGTTGAAGAGTCCATCTCTCTCTGCCTGGTATCTTGGGAGAGCAAGGGCTATCTAGGACAATTAAGATAGGCCTAGAAGGCAGGCAGCTCCCCTTCCAAGGCTTGTTTGTTGCGAAAGATGATTAGGCTAGATGACCCAAGAGTAAATCCTGCCCATGAGTTCTTGAAGAAAATTCATTATGGTAAGAAATGCCAGTGGGATCTTGACTGGTAATAGCACTTTACATATTTGTGTTTTATCTGTTGAAGGTAATTTGTGAATGTTTATGGTTCTTGCAAAGCTGTTTATTCAACAATGTATGAAGACCATCCTCTGTATCTACTCTGTGCTCAGTGTCAGCATTCAGAAGCAAATAAGACACTGCCTATCCTTTAAAACTTTAGCAGCCTTATACAGTGTGGTCAGGTATCTTCTGGCATATCTGATACATGGGTATTATGAGTTTGCAAGTAATGGAATTTTGATCATGGTTTTGGCAGCTAAAAGAAACTGCACACTTTTTTATGTTTGCACATTAATATCAATCAGTATTTTTGTATACTAAATAAGAATTATGTTTGTTAATATTATCAGTCATATATTCTCTTAATCCCCTTATTGAATTAAAATGAATCTGGACTTAACACTGGCATAGCAACATAAATCACCTGAGAAATTTACCCTTTCCTCAAGTTAAAGGAGGATACAAACAACTTTTTATTGCTTAGTTACATGTAGAATTCTATAGTAAAGATAGAGAGAACATGTGGCAAAGTAGATCCATTTTTTTATTTCTGTTTTTTATTCTTAAAAATTACAATGAATTTTAACTCATTCCAGAACCATAGCAGCATTTTCTAAAGGCTACGGGTAGGACAGGAGAACTCAGAGAAATTTCCCTCAAGTACACAAACCCTCCACTGAGTGCAAGGCAACAGCTCATCAAAGGCTAGGGACAGAACATCAAAGGGGAAAGAGATCTTCCCAGCTGCAGAAAGTTGAGGACAATGCTTGAGAGAAAAAGACCTCAGTGATTCAAAAAGTAGGCAACATAAAATTTCCATGTGAAGAACAGAGAGTTCTCCACTAGACAAATTCCAAGACCTGATAAAGGGATAATCCTTATCTTCCCTCATGACGTTTGAAACCAGTGGCAAAGTAAATCTAACTAAAGCTTCAAAAAACCCCAGACCCAGCTCAACTACAGATTAGACTGACTTAGCCTCCACCCTAAAGGCCTGACATAGGAAGATGCATGAATTTTTCTCAGGGTAAATATCATTTGTTACACTCTCTCCTGTTCTTTTTCAGATAATGTTCGGCATATAATAAAAAATCATGAGATGTACTAAGAAGCAATAAAATGTGCCTCATAATTAAGAGAAAAATATTCAACAGAACCAGATCCACAGATGACACAAATGTTGGCCAGAAAGGGTAAACATAAAAGAAATTTCTTTAAGAGATCACTGACTGTTTAAAGCAAAATTAAAAGCAATATACTATGGGGTTTACAATATATATATATAAGTAAAATAGATGACAATAAGAATATAAGGAATGTATAAGTGGACAAATGGCATTGTAAAATTTAAAAACTCTAACTTCATTGTGAAATAATATAATATTAATTCAGGGTAGAACATGAATAAGTTAAGGATGTATGTTGGTATGTCTAGAGTAACCATTAAAGAAAAAAAAATAAAATCCGAAATCAATAGAGAAAATATAACAAAATTATAAAAGCATTCAATTAATGGAAAAGAATACAGGAAATGAGCAACAGAGGAATAAAAACAGTTAAGACAAATTAAAAAATAATACAAAGATGGTAGGCTTAAACCCAACCATACCAATAATTACTAAATACTATCAAATGTAAATGAACTAAACACTTTATTTAAAAGGCAGAGATAGTCAGACTGGATAAAAAATTAAGACCCAAATATATACTATCTATAAGAGAAAAAATTTAAAATATAAATACACTGGTTAAAGAGAAAGGGATGGAAAAAAGTTACATCATGCAACAATAAATATAAGCAGTTGATATGGTATCAAAATAGATTTTTATGAAATACTAAATGATAGTGAAGATGAGAAACTAAAACATTTATAATTTTCTGGTGGGAGAATAGAATGATATGGTCACTTTATAAAATTGTTCATCAGTTTCCTATAAAGTCAAATATACATTACCCAAAGAACCAACAATTTTGCCCCCTAGGTATTTACACAAGAGGAATGAAAACATATGTCCTCAAAAAGACTTGTACAAAAATGTTCATAGTAGCCTTAGTTATAATAGCTCCAAATTGGAAATAACCGAAATACACATAAATATGAGAATGGAAAAACAATATTTGATGCATTTATGCTATGAAATACTGCTCAACAGTGAAAAACAGTAGACTACTGATACATGCCACACAGGGAGTATAACTCAAAAATCTTACAATGAGTAAAAGAAGGCAGACACAGAAGAATATATATGGTGTGATTCCATTTATATGAAGCCTGAGAATAGACAAAATGAATCTATAATAATACAAATAAGAAAACATTTGCTTCTGGGGACAGGGAGTGGCTGACTGAAAGGAAGAATGACTATGGGAAAATGTTTTATCTTGATTTGGGTGGTAGTTACAGAGATGCATGCAATTTTAAAAAATGCACCAAATGCTACTCTTATGATCTATCCATTTTATTGTATGTAAATTATATCTCAAATATTAAATGGTAATACAACTTAATGGAGGACCTTTTTTTTTTTTTTTAAAGATTTTATTTATTTATTTGAGAGAGAGTGAGAGAGAGAGAGCATGAGAGGGGGAGGGTCAGAGGGAGAAGCAGACTCCCTGCCGAGCAGAGAGCCCGATGCGGGACTCGATCCTGGGACTCCAGAATCATGACCTGAGCTGAAGGCAGTCGATTAACCAACTGAGCCACCCAGGCGCCCCAATGGAGGACCTTTAATATGCATAACATTGTATTAAGATGTGGGTAATGTTCAATAAAGATGGTATTGTACAAAGATTAATAATAATAATAACCGTCTACTATTGACTGACTATTATGGACCAGTGTTAATACACTTTACTTGGTATAAACCTTACGCATCCTGTAAGCTGATAGTCCCTCCATTTTACACACAAGGAGCCAAGTCAGAAAAGTAAAGAGATTTCCCCATTGTCACAGGGCAAGAACAAGAAAAAGCTGACATTTGAATCTAGTTTTATCTGACTCCAAAGCCTTAGGTATTACTTTAAAATAGTATCTGGCAATTTCAGACATACAAGGACAGAAATTATGCTCTCCGTACCATAAGGATTTACTCAAGCTTACTGAGAAATAAGTCAAAATAAAAGAATCCAAGAATGAAGAAGTTAGGGTTTTAAAATAAACAGCAACAATGAAATGGCAAAACATAGTTAAATTCAGTAATAAATG